AAGGACGTTGCCTAATAATTAAGCACACCTTATATAGGGTGGTGATGTTATTAGGCCACGCCCCTTCTCATTACAGAGATGCTCACCACCTGATTTACTTCATTGGTAGTTGGTTTTCAAGTCCATATAGCTTAGAGTAGGACAACATGTATGAAAAGGATGATGTGGTGGAAATACTCATTTGCCTAATAATTCTGCACACAGTGTACTATGTTAATAACTTTGTATAGTTCATTAGACGGTTGGTAAAAAATACACTCGTATAATATGTTTCAAACCGCAATAAAGATCTTAAAAGAACGATTTGAGTATTTTATTTTTTACACTAGACTTTGGAATTATGGGTAATCCAGAGCGTAGATTAGCCTAGATAAGCATCTCCCTGAAATGAGTTATGGACCTTGGGATGTCTGTAACATGGTGGTGTGCTGTCACAGATGAGTTGTGATGTGTGATCATATACTGCTGAGATTCGCATAATTGTTTCTTCTTGGTCTTCTGCGGCAGTATCCTGAACCTTTGTCACGTGTTGTACTTCATATGGGGCCCAGATAATGTTTCTTATGGGCCTATTGTTGTGTCATTACGCCGTTGCTTCAGTTGGATTTTTTTAGTGGTCCTCAGTGAAAAGCTGAGCTGTAATGGTTTTAACTACTGGTCTCACTGGTCGTTTGAGTCCAAATGTCTGTGCTGGCCTTCTCTAAACCTCCAGCTTCCCCTCACCTTCTGCCAGGCTGCTATCAACCGCAGTCCAACCTTTGATCTGCTGGTTCAGCGGCTATCAGCAGGCAGGACAGACTACTGTGGGGGGGTGCTGAGGCCTGGCCAGTCTCCACGCCGCTGCAGCCCACTGACAGGTGCTAAAGCTGGGGCGAGAGGTTGCACGGGCCTCTGTGCTCCCCTCTGTGATAACACTGACCAACCTCGCCGTCACACATGGCGGCTCGGCTCGCTGATAACCGCACTTCAGAGGAAGCCTGTCTGTGTGTGTTGGATTGATCTTCCTAAGGATTCCTCTTCAGCGCCAGCAGGCCTTCCTTCAAAGCCTTCAGGGTCTCTGGGTGTGTGAGTCACACAGAAACCAGGCTGCCCCCCCAGCATTGATAAGTCTGTAGCTTTGGAAACGCTGCTTTATTTAATGAGCCACTGCTGATGGAGAACATGGAGCTGAAACTCAGACAGTAGCACACACCAACACCGCTGATCAGGACAGATTATGGTCTTTCCAGGAAAAGAGGATCTGCTGGTCCTGCTCTCCACTTTCATCTCTGCCATCTTACTGATACTCTGCTGGACTCACAGTTCCTCTAAGTGTGTATTCTCTGCAGAGGAAAGAGAAGCTTTTCCTCCCTCTGGATACGCTAACCTGATCATCTGAGAAGGTTCTGTCCTTTCCTTTCAGAGACGCAGCTTAGATTCATCAGAAGATCAGAGAACATAATAAGCTCAGTGCTTATAATGGACCCAGGATCAGGATCCTGGACCCAGGATCCTGGATCCTGGACCCTGGATCCTGGACCCTGATCCAGGACCCAGGATCAGCATGAACTTCATGGTTTTTCTGAAGCCAGTTAAAGTAGCTTCATTCAGATTCTAGAGGTGTCTGATTATTCTGATTCTGGAGTCGATCCAATGCCAGCATGGGGCCAGTATCCCCAGTACCTACACTGGTTTTAAATATCATCAATTCTTCTACATTTAAAATGTTTTTTTTTTTCTCTGATTATTTTGTTATAATCTACGGCAGAGTTTGATAACATGGTTATATACGATAAAAAGTAAAGTAAGCTGAAAAAACGTCCAGAAACATTTTTCTTTCAGAGCAAATCAAAACGTGTTGAAAAGCCAAAAAATAAAATTAAAAATTCTCGATTTTTCTAAAATAAAAAATATTTAAAACCATATTTGTTTGAAGCAATGAAAGAATAATCCTGAGAAGTTTGCATGTAATCAGTAACTGGAGCGATCCGTCTAACGGCGCCGTTTATCCCGCGTTCTTCTCCATGTTGAATCTCTACGATTTTCATCCGGGGCTGAAATGAAGCCGTTTAATCAGAGATCAAATGATGCAGATTGGTGAAGTTTAAGGATAACCAGCTGTGTTGGTCAGCAGGTTAGCGTTTCAGCCTTCCCTCAGGGAGCAGTGGGCGGGGTCTGGAGTGGCGGCCAATAGGGCATAGAGCTTAAATTTCAGAGGTTCTGAGTTCAAGTCCCACTCCCACAGACTGCCTCTCTAGGTCCCTGAGCAAGACCCTTAACGCCCACTGCTCCCCGGGCGCCTCACAATGGCAGCCCACTGCCCCCCCCAGTTCATTTTGAATCTAATACCCAATAAGCTGCTAGTTATTTATTTAGAGCGTCGGTTTAAAGACGTTTGATCCTTCTGCAATGGAAGCTAACAGCTGTAGCATTCCAGCTAATGCATTAAAGCGAGCTAAGAACCCAGCAGCTTCTGAAAGTTTCCCGCCCTCGCTGCCGTCAGCGGCCCTCAGACCAAACTGGAGGTCTGAGCTCAGTTCGGTGCATCGCTGGTCCTCCTCCTGAGCTACATCGGGCTGCTGCGCTGTTTCTCTTTCCTTTTACAGCTACGCTGAACTTCTTTATGATTGTAGAATATAGTTGCTGTTTCAGCAGCGTTTTATTACCGGATCATATTAGCAGCTGCCTGGACCTCAGAGCCGATCCTCGGTAGGCGAGGCTCATCCCTTAGATTTATGCTGTGGTGAAATCAAAATGCATCTTCAGGTTCAGCAGAACTTTGCATCAGGAAGCAGGTGAGCTGTCTTAGTGAACGTAGGGCTGCTAATTTCCTCAGAAAACTCCATTTTCTGTATGAACTTGAAGTCTTGAATAGCGGCGGCTGTTTCCTTTGTCCTGCCTTGCATAGAGTCCCGACACCTTTATCACTTCATCCTGCTTGGAGGCACAGTTAGAAAGTCAAATGGACACAGAGACAGAATAAGGCAGTTGTTTTAGCGTCTGCATGCCTGGCTGCTCACACACAAACACACACAGAGAAGCAGGCTGCAGACTCTCTGGCTCCAACATGGGAGATCCTTCTGATAGCTGCAAACATGGAAGACGCAGAGGAGAAAAGATTAAGATGCAGTCAAGGCTTGTGTGGATTTGCTTGTGACAGGCATGAAGATTAGGTTGCACTTACAAGAGGTCTGGTGTGTGAGCGGCTGCAAACAGCTGATCTGTTCGACTACAGTGAAATAATTCATGCAGCAGCAGGTTGGCGGGGGGGGGGGGGACATGTTTACAGCTCTGAAGCACGGTGATGTTCAGACCCCATTAAACCCATTCTGGTTGAGAACAGATGCAGACTGTCCTCCTGATCTCTGCTGATCACCCAGCTCTTCCTCACTGATCTACCTCAGGCTCAGCAGAGGAAACTACGCCTCACATCTCAGAGGTTGAGGGTTTAAATCCTCTTGGGTCGCTCCTTTCATTGAGTCAGCTGCTGACCTGAGCCTGTCTGGATTTAAAAAGGCTGCTGGTTTAAAGTTTTGCTTTAGCCAGTCGTGGTTTAGGCCTAGCAGCCAAACTGATGGGCTTTTATTGTGCTAAAAAACATCTCTGATGCTTCTGTGGGATTTATGGTCAAATTTGCAGGACTTCATTAAATTGCAAAGAACTAAGATAATCGGTATCTGTAGTTGTGTGATCATAAAACATAAAATATGCTGATGAGGCTCTTTTTTTTCTTAAAAAGTAGCTTTGGAAAAACCTTAAAGTTTTATTAAGTTAAAAGTTCTTCTTTGTTCTGCTGTTATGTTCAAAGTATGAGGATAATTTTTCAGAGCTAATTTAATGCCACTCATGTAAAGTGGCATTAAATTAGCT